GTGTGTGTGTGTGTGTGTGTGTGTAATACTCGATCGATACTGCAATACATTTGCAGCGAATATTCGTCACACCTTTGGCTCTCTACATTGAACGTTCGTATTCGATAAGTTAAATCATTGTGCCCGTATACACAGGACGGGACTGGTGTGGGCACCACTGCACAGAATACTGCAAAAGGCAAACACAACATTACAAAGAAGAAGCAAAGCGGTGGTTCAGAGGCGGTGGCGAACATGAATATTGACGCCGCTGATATCAGGTGAGAGGAGACGAGTGTGTTGTACATTGACTATAGTTTGGTTTAATAGGAGATGATGTTTACCTAGTACCTTGGCAATATATGAAAATAGATTTGATGTTTGTAGATCAAGATTTTTTTTGGTTGTCCGGGTCAGATGGACAGGCAAACACGGATTGAGGACAGCCGAACTTTCGTTGTATGAAAACAGATGTGTTTTAGATGACAATTAGACTGTATATGAATTGGTGGGTTCGAAAAGGCAGCTGATTCGAATAAAGTGTGGTGACTAGATTGAATAGTATGTGAAATTAGGGCCACACGTGTTGGAGAACTGAGATCGCGCCTGTAGAGGCGAATGGATTTCGATTGATTTGGATTAGGTACACACACAAAAATGCTAGTTGCCGATTTATATACTTCTCAAATTGAAGAAGGAGAAAAATTGGCCAGATTGCAGCCGTGGCTGAGTTGTTCTGAATCTGATTTTCGTTGCTTTCAGCTTCAATCTATATACTAGACCTTTCCTATTGACGATCTACTTCGGAGGCTATTTGCTAAGTATACTGAATTTCCTTTCAGATCGTTTACCCGTACACACGCTTATATATATCTATATCCATCCGTGTATATATAGACCCATGTATATTCACATTCATACACTTTGCCTCCCGCACTCGTCATTACACCCACGAATATATTTTTCCATACATATGTGCGTCAATCACTGATAGACGCGCGTTTCATCTGCACATGAACTCACACAAACATTTCACGCTGTGTACGCTTATTTTTGGCTTCTCTACACTGTGACCATTTCACCAACACATGCGCATATACATCCACGCAAAATTATGCATGCACACTTTAACCTTCACATACACCTACGCCCAAATACATTCACTTACACCTATGAACACATGCAGAAAAGAATATACACACTTACGCACACCTTATACACCACCACTTGCTCCCGTATATGTACACACGGTTTACACACACAAACGCCCATTTCTCGCCCAATCCACGCTTAAGCCCGTTAGCACTTGCGCACACTTTTAAACTCTGCTAGGGATTCGGTGCTGAAGGGTGGCGTGGTAGAGGATGAGTTCGAAACCCTCGCGAACAACTGCTGGCGCAGGGAGAAGACTGTTGTGCCAAGCGACCACGACACTCTGGCCCTGAGCATGGCCAATAGGTGTGTCGGTGTGTCGATATATTGTTTTAGTCAGTTTGCCAGTCTGTCACTTCAGTTTGACGGACCTTTAAAATTACTATAAAATCGCACGAGCTGCATGACAGATGTGTTGGGTGTGGACACAGGAATAATGTAATTGATGAACAACAGTGGTGTTGCAGATATATGGGACCGTTTCGTTTGGCTCGGACTGTACGCACGGGATGCAGCTACGTGCTTCATAGCAAGATAGAAGCAAATCTAAGTGACTAAACACATTCTGAAAAAGAAAATGCTTCAATCAGTTGAGACAATGCAACACGCGCACATGTTCAAAATAAAATCAGCTCATACGGGGAAAGATACGGGTATACAGACACACATGCGCCACCCAAAAGAATGCCACAACTGCACGTATACGTTTGCATCCGTACATACGCACGTTCACTGATATATACACGCACATCTGACGCCATACCTGCATGCAACGGCTATAAGTTCACGGCCAAAATCGTTGGATCGTGATTGACACTGCAAACCCCAATACACATGCAATAAATGACAATAAAACCAGCCTGGTCGTATGCACACATAGTTCTCGGATAGGAAAACAGCGTATACCATAAACACGTGGATGTGCATGTATTTGTGTGTAAAGATATAAGCCTGCACCCTGGACATGCAGCACATTCACACCCCACTATCGTACACAGGTACTACATCTACCAGACAATCCCAGGAAATGTCAATAATGACTCGGGGGTGAAGGTTTTCAAAAAGGTACAGAAAGTTCGTGTATTTCTAAAAATGCGCATTTGTTGTGTTTGTGTTCGCGAAAACAAGATTGCCATTAGTTGTCGCGTATTTTTCAATAAGAAATACGTATTTGTGCGTAGTATATTACTTCACTTTTTCTGTTTAATTATCTAAATATAAGTATGTATGTATATATATGAGTGTCTTTGGCCAGTTAAGGGTCTTGTGTGTATGTGTCTGTACACCAAAGTTGGTGTGCGCGAGTTGCATGTCTTTGTCTGGTTATTTCTACTGATTAATTACACACTACCAGTAGTGCATTATGAATGCTCAGTATCTGGTTGCCTTTACTGTTAATTAATAAAGTATCGAAATTGCTAAATATATGGTTGCCTGTAGAGAATGAGCACACTACTACTAGAGTATTACGAGTGCTTGATATCTAGTTGCCTGAGTGTAATTCGGGTTGTGATTTTGAGGAATTCATGAAAATTCAGCTGTTGAGTGTTCCCGTTATGTGCTTTTGGGTTGTTGTGTTTGCCTGAGCCAGTCTGTGGTATCGTTGTGTATGAGTGCTATCAATCGTGTTTTATTATGTTACGACTACATATTGCAAGATCTTATAGAATCACCAAGAACGTACGATATCGTGTATGTACATATATACATACATATAACATACATATAATAATAATGTGCTTGGACTGTTTAGAGCATTGGCCATTTTGTTCTGTTCATCACCTTTGTCCTTCTAATATCACACTTTCATATGGAATACTGTATATATAATATGTAGTTTCAGCTTTGATCTCTCGTGTTTACTGTCACCATTTGCTCTTATCATCTCATACCTACACATTGGCCAGCGTGTGATAGTTTCTTCCACATATGTGCTGGTTGCCACTGGTGCCCTTATAGTCTCACACCTACGAGTTACATTATGTATGTCATTAACTTTTGATGCCATCTATCACGTGTGTGCTATTTGTCACCTTGACAATTAATATCTCATATCGAGATGTTTAATAGCGTGTACTATTGTGTTTTCATGCCATCTACCACCGTGTACTAACTATCGCGATATGCTCTTATCATCGCATGCGCACGTCATGAAGAATATATATCATGATGTTTTGATATCTACCTTTGTGTACCTTCACCATTTTCCCTTATTATCTCACGCGCACGTAGTAAAGTATGTGTATCGTGGTGTTTGATATCATCTACCACTCTGTGCTATCACCATTTTCCCTTATCATCTCACGCGCACGCAGTAAAGTACGTGTATCGTGGTGTTTGATATCATCTACCACTCTGTGCTATCACTCTTTTTCCCTTCTCATCTCACGCGTGCATACGGTATAGTGTGTCGCTGTGCTTGGTACCATCAACTACTGTACTAACAATCACCGCTGCTCTCAAAATCGCACGTTTACAGCAATCCGTGGCTAAGTGGGACAGAGGACAGGCGCATGTGGTGCCTCACAACGCGCACGTGCCAGAATACGACACCGAGATGCTAGACGACGACACACACGAACCCACACATGTAAACCACCATCCACCGGAGCCCATACCCGTGCCGAAGAATGTAGAAGATCCGTGGGACGATGAGGGTGAAGGTGAAGGGGTGGATATGGGTGAGGGCGTTACTAACGGATCATCGAGAGCGGATGTGGCTGTGGATGATAGCTTGGATCGGAATAGAGCAGACATGCGCGCGGCGATGGCCGCCCATACAGCGACAAGCTCCAGGGCTAAGAAATCTAACCCGTTTCTGAAGAGGAAACGATGAGTTGGGCTTGCATGTGTGCATATTTATGTGTACCACATTGTACAGGTTTACATGTGAGCAGTGCATATGATAGTGCATCATATCGTTCGTTTCTTGACAAGGAAGAGCTGAGAATGAGGTTATAGCAAGTATATGTATGTGCAGTATATTCTTAACTTGATTTGTATATTGTATATATGTGTTAAGAAATACAGATACATAGTGCAGAGCTACACCACAAGGATGTGGCCTTGTGCGACTTGGTCATCATTGCGGCTTGCCCAATTGCTTGCTGCATCCAGCCTCCCAAAATTACTTCGTATCTTGAGCCATTTAACCGATTTGAGGAGAGCAGAGTGAGAAAGACTTGTAACACAATACAAAGACTCTCACGTCCCCAAGGATTCTACGTGCCTGGCGACCGGCGCGCTATCGGTCCTCGCGTTTACCTACCCAGCCATGAGTAAATGGTTACCTACATGCGTATACCTACCTTACTACGAGCTATGACTACCCACGGGCCTACCTACGCATCTTCGGACCCTTCTCCCTCCAGTACACACACACGTTTTCATGACAGTCCACGTGCCCACCACCTCGCACGCGCTCCAAATCGCCCACGCATAGATGGCTACCAGCACTTGCGCAGTGTACGGTGTACTCGTGATCATGGCTACATACCTGCCTTTAAATACCGAATTGCGTACTGTTACGCTCGAGTTCCGATCCTACCACGTGCGTAGTGGTCTGAGTACGTGAATAGGTCAAGAACAGATAGAAGGCCCATGTGCTCCTATCCTATCGACCGTGTATATAGTGTCACACCGCAGCACGGATAAGCGACAGGGGAACACATACTTCAGTGAACACCTATGGGACTCATTGAATGACCGAGTTCCCTTAGTGCAGAGATGTGTCCTCCGGTAAGACTGGATTATATCGTTAGGCTCCTACAGACAGTTATGGCACAGCCACGTGGGTTTTCCGCGATAAGTCTCGAGATACCTTGAACACGAGGATTTTTCCAGAAGAAACATGCCACACTAAAATATATAAGGTGGTTCTGGACTGAATGCAAACTTCCAAATATAATCAGACTATAATTGAGACACAGCAGAATTGCCTTTTCTGTCAGGCATTTGCAACTTCGAGTAGGAATTTAATTTGAATCCCTGGAAGTGCGTGGTCGCTCGACATCAACCCCCAAAAAAAACTAGGGGATCTGGGCAGCTGAACGTACCTTGATCGATCAGGGTACAGCTGGGAAATGCAATTACTCGCCTGGCCACGCCACTTGTATGTAGATATACCAGAGCAGATAAGGCCTCAGAATTTTGCGTGTTGGTTGTGAAACATTCAATGGACAGTTCGTCCCTCCGATCAATGCATATGTATGTGATGTGTGTACGTGCACATGCCTCATCTAAAAGTTTCTTATTGTTGAGTGTATGCGTACACGCAAATATGCAAAATCACTCTCCGAACTCGTGGAGAAGTGCGAATTTACACGTGTTAATGGGAAATTCAAACATTTCTTCATGGCGTTTCTGGTTATACGTTCACAATCTGAGCTTTGAAAGTACTTGAAAATGCACATGCGCTCGAATAAACCACTAAAATATGTGCGTACAATTACTCGTATGTGTGCGTCTCTTTATCCTGATTTTTTATTGAAGCATACGCGGGTTTGTATTATACCATTGCAATACTAGACTTGCGCGACTATACTGGAATTTATACTCGGGCATTTTTTTTTTAAATGCTAGGCAAGATTTAGAACTTTTGCTGAAGTGAGGTGCGTTCGGCACTGAGGGATGATCCTAAGTCGACCTGATTCTGTACATGAAAGTGAATTTTACAATTATTGTGGCAGCTGTGCCAGTCATCCTGGTGTCCCTCAACAGAAGACATCCCGAACAATCGACATAATACTTGGTGGTCTGTTATGTACGCTTATAGTATACCATCCACTTAACTGAAGTGCTTGGTGGGTGTTAGTCCAGTGTGATATCTAATTATTCAGTTTTACTGTATATGCAAGATTTCTTTGCTTACAGCATCCAACTATTCAAGTGCATAAAGAACTTCGTTTCAATTGTAATTTTCACTTGTACAGTAGGTGTTCTGAAGTTTGACTAAATAAAAACACTGTAATAATAGAATGGTACTTCAATAAAATGATGAAAAATAACATTTGCCTTGTACTTTTTGACTTTATAATATGCTTATTTTTTGGTTGCTTACTCGTAGATCATTGATTGCTGTCTGCCTGACTTGTAAATACTTTTCGATAGATGCCTTTTCATGAGTTTTCGCTCTTTGAATCGACTCTTGAATGCTTTTCTTTCGTCATGAGTTTTCGACCTTTGAATTGACTCGTGAATACTAACAAGAGTTTTTCGGTCTTTGAACTTGATTCTCGACCCTTGAACGTTGGGAATACTTGCCAATGCTAATACTTCCGGATTTTGGATTATGAATGATCGAATGTTTTCGCCTGCAAATACAATACTGTCTGAAAATGTCTTTGTGAATTCTCGTGAGTTGGATCGCATTGTGAATAGCCTGAAACTTAGAATATCTTCAAATAATAAAGGCAATTAGTATATGAATCTTTTTACGCTGTGTATTCTGGTACAAGTCTTTTTCGACTTAGTATATCCCAAATTTGTTCAAGCGATTAGTGTATGGTTTTCATAATGTGTTCATTGGTACAAAATGTCTCTTAAGACTTTAAGATAGGAGGTATATGATTTTTACACTGTATACTTCGGCACAATTTGTGTACTCTCCGATTCTTGTATTATTTTCATATTGCTTGCCTTTTACACTTGTGTTTGTATTATCTTCATATTGCTTGCCTTTTACACTTGTGTTTATATTTATATAGCGCTTTTCTATTGTCAATAGACACATAGACTTCACTTTTAATGGGCGTCCCCAAAAAAGTGGAATGACTATATCAATTGCAATAGGAGCAATCCGTACTATATCATCTGAGCATAATCGTAACTGTTTCATTCATATCGAATATATTAAATGCTCTTTAACGTACGGCTTGATATATTTACACTTGTGTTTACTGTACAGTGGTCACCGGTTGTATATGTTTTCTATAGGTCAGACATCTTGCTCATTATTTTGTCTCGAGCGTATATAAACTTTTTCTGGTCTAAGGGTTTTGTAAGCATATCGCTTAAAATTTATGTTGTTGGTGTGTATAGAAGTCGGACTTCGCCTGTGACTATCCTTTCTTGTGTGGAGTGATAATGCTTGTGTCTGTGGCGTGTGCGCACTGAGGACTTTGAATTCTCACTTATCTTGATCGATGACTTGTTGTTTTGTTCGATGATCGTAGGCTGTGCTTGCGGTAGACCAATTCCTTTAAGTAAGTGCCGTGCCCATACTGCGTCTCGTGTTGTGTCTGAGCATGCGACATATTCTGCTTCGGCTGTCGAAAGTGCTGTTGTCTTATGTAAGTTCGTCCCCCATAAAAACGGTACACCTGCTATCATACCAATCTTTCCTGTAGTAGATTTTGTATTTTCTGAGTTTGAACAGTAGTCACTGTCAGCTGAAAAAATAGGTGTGAAGGGTATATCCTTACTGTATGTGATGCCCAAATCTCGTGTTCCTGACAAGTATCGTAAAACTCGCTTGGCGGCTCGTAAGTGGCGTTCCATCGGTGCGACTAAATGACGTCCCAGTAGGTTCACCGCAAGTGATATGTCCGGTCTCGTGCCATCCGCCAAGTATCGTAAGCATCTTACAATGTGTTGATAAGCTTTGATGTCAGTAGGTGTATCTTTGTCCGTAGCAATGTAATCGGTTCCAATGCAAGGGACCCGATATGTATTGCATTCTAGTAAATTCTTCAAGTAGATCCATTGTGTATTGGCCCTGATGTATGCTGACTTTGAGTTTGAGTTTGAGAACCCGGCTAGGCTCGCCCATATCTGTAGTGTTCCATTGTGTCTTCATTGCCTGAGTTATTGCATCCGCATCTGCTTTCGATTGACACATCACAATTTTGTCGTCCACTTGTACAAATAGTATACATAGTTGTCCGGCTGAAGTTCGTTTGACGAATAAAGCTTTGTCCTCATATAGTGGAATGTAACCTTGCTTGATACAGAGCGCCTTATTTTGTTGATACCAGAGCTCGCCGGATTGAGGTAAACCATATAGAGCCTTTGATACTTTGCACACGACGGTCTTGTCTCCTTTTAGTGATCGTGTCAGTAATGCCTGTTGAGTAGGAGAAAGATGTTGATTTAGTAGATGATATCCTCTGAGTACACGCATATATACTGGCTCCTCGAGGTCGCTATTCAGGTAAGCATTCGGTGTGTCGTACTGGCGGACGGTCATGTTCGTGTGGGCTAGCAGTGCCATACATAATCGAAATGTATCTTTGTTGACCACTGGGACATAGCTTCGAGTATAGTCAATTCCTTCAACGGCGGACCAGGCAGCGACGGTCAATCGGCTCTTCAGTCTGACTACGATGCCTTTGTCGTTCCGTTTCTCAACAAAGACCCATTTCGGACTGAAAATTGTCTTGTCAGGTGGTTTGCTGTCAACCAGGGTGAGTGTTGGCTTGGTGATGACAAGTGCGGTCAACTCTTGATTGATACTGGATAGCCATGAATCTTGATTCGAAAGTTTTGCAATATCTGAATATACTTTGGGTACAGATTTTTCAGGTGTTAGTTTGTTAGTTATTTTCATAGTGGCAATATTTGTATTTTTTTGAGCGTGTGTGGGTGCGGGTAAAGGTATGTATGGAGGTGGTCTGCGTGTAAATGTTTGTTGCGTGCATATGTCATTATTCCAAATGAAGAATTGATCCTCAAATATTGTGGCATCTCTACTTATAGCTATTGTCTTTGTGGATGGATTCTAAATTTTATATGTGTCCGTAGTAGTGTTGAGTGGTTGTGCGATTAGTATCCCTGGTCGGCCACGGTTAGCAAGTGATGATGTATCTTGCCTCTCCTTGTAGAGTACCCTACATCCAA